AAATCTCTCTTTTTCTTCCTGTCTCGTTTGTCACCGGACTTTGAGTAGGAATGAGCATCATATTGTTTCCCGCAAATTTGTTATTTTTTATTACCGAAAGAACACTGCCAGTTAAACAATTAAAATAAATTCCTTACATTCAAAAATTGGTCTGAAGCTTATTCAACATACAATTTTATAGCAAACAAAATGTGTTTTCTTAGCACATACTTTCAACTTCTCGTCCAATCAAATTGCTTTGAATTTGCCTTCTAATTTTCATAGTACATACTTTTTCCGTGTACTAAGTAACTACGCATGAATGACCACAAGGGTAAGATTTCATTGTATCGTAATCAAGATATTAAAACAAAAAATTGCCACTGGCTGTTTTGAAATAAAATGCTGTGTTCCAAATTAAATTAAAAAATATCCTGCTATCAATATCTTAGGATCTAAAAAAAATGTTTTTGGCAATTGCCAGTTTCTTTCATTTAAATAAAGAGTATCAAATATGGTTCTTTATACCTTGATTAGAGTACAACACCATCTTAAAATTGTGATAATTTATCATCCATGCAATTACTTTGTACACAAAAAAGTCTGTACTATGAAACCTTGTGAAGGGAAATTAAGGCAACTTGATCTATTTTGTCATGAATTGATTAATTGATTGATTATTGGTTGCTTAATGTCCAGTGGCAAATATTTCATGCATGTTCAGGACGATGTCATGAATTGAAAAACCGTGATAATGTCTGAAGAGAATGTGCCACCTATATATATATATATACATGTTCTGATAAATCTTTGAGTTGTTACTTTGTCAGAAATAAAAAAAAAACATAAACCCTGGTATCTTTGATCTATTGGTATTTGCATTTTAATGACTATCCGCTAGACTACCTATTGGGGCATACCAGGGGCGGATCCTGCCATTTTTAAAACATGTAAAAGGGGGTTCCAACCATATGTCCCCATTCAAAAGCATTGATTGTCCAAAAAAGGGGGTTTTCCTTTCAAAGGTAACACCTGCCTCATATTAGTCCTTTAACCATTAGTTGTACGTCTGAAGTTCTCCTTTAACTCGTGTTAAGGGTAAAGGATAGTTAAGTAAAGCTTTATAAGGGTTGGGACCCCTACAGAAGGCTGATGATATAAATTATATAAGGTCTTCAATTTGGTTTCATGTCGATCCGGCCCCATGTCGATCCGGCCCAAGTCGATCCGTCCCACGTCGATCCGGCCCAACGTCGATCCGGCCCATATTTAAAGTCGATCCGGCCCCAATAAAAAAATATATTTATAAGGAATAAAAATAAAGATATTTATGAATTGTAATTCATAAATGTTTATGAATTTTATTATAATGTAAAACTGCTCAGGTGTACGGTAAAAAAAATGGCCTTTGACAAATATTTTCTTTAGATGAGTATAAAACAATTAAGTAGGTTGATTATGTTTTCAGTACAAGTTTTCAAGATTATTGGGTATAATCAAGGATTTGTATATTCACTATACAAATCCTTGGTATAATTATAATAAAAACGTATAGAACAGAATTTAGTACAATCAACAGACATCAACATTAATCAGCAGTAATTAGCACTTTCTTTCAATTGACTGTGATCTTAACAAGTCGATCTTTCATCCTGTGTAATGACAAATAGTTACATCCACAACGGTACAAGCCGATCCCCAAGCTGATACATACAAACTTTGTTTTTGTTTTAAGTTCTTAAAACTTCTCAAATTGAGAAATGTTGTTTGATTTGCCGAATCCTTTCTATAAAAGAGGAGACAGAATGCTCTATCGGATTCGGTTGGAGTTGCAAAAAACCTAAAGCAACTTGCAAACGGCAATTTACTAATCGAGTGCCAAGATAAACATCAATGGAAAGCGATTCAACAAAGAACCTCCATTGGTGAATGGTCGATTAGAACAAGTTTGCCCAAATCGACTACATCATCAGCTGGAGTGATATACAACGTGTCGCTTGACCTCGACATCGAGGATGAAGACTTAAAATCAGTAATGAAAAGTCAAAAAGTTTGTAAGGCGACACGTCTAACATACTATGACAAAACTAGTAATACAAGAAAAACGTCAAGATCAGTCAAACTGATCTTTGATGTACCAATACTACCCCAAACCATAAATATTGGATTTAATACTTATAAAATAAAGCTGTATGTACCAAATCCCATCCAATGTTATAAATGTCAGGGATATGGGCATATGGCAGGTAATTGCAGTAATAAAAGAAAATGTAGGAAATGTGGTGATGACCACCAATCCAACGAATGTAACACTGAAGCCCAAGTGTGTTAATTGTAAAGGTGACCATCCATCGAATTATAAACTTTGTCCCTCAAGGGAGCAACAAAAACAACCTCTCAAGGTAGTTAAAAGAGACAACATCACCTTGCATGAAGCAAATAAACAAGTAAAAGCTAAAGCTAATGCTAAAGCAAAACCTGTTGTTCAGCAACAAGTAGTTGAACATACTGATATTAAAAAAAAGTTATAAAAACACCAATATAATAGACCAAGTAATTCCAATTATAAGTGTTGCAATGCTTAACATACTTACATCCCAAACCCCACCAAGTGAACTAAATTTAGAAAAAGTTATTGGTTTCGTATCAATGGCAACCAAACAAATGTTTGGATTTGATTACGATGTTTCGAAAGGTCTCCAATTGGCCAATAGAGTAACAACAGAAATGCTATAATGTATTATACAAATCATAAAATAGTAACAGTAGTAATGTTATATGTTCTATCTGTGCTTATAATGGCTAATTTTAATAGTTTACTAATATACAACATCATGTTTAGTATTGTTCATTGGAACTGTCGTGGTATTCACAATAATGCTGCCGAGTATATAGCTATGTCGCAAATAAAGCCTGATATAATTTGCTTCCAGGAAACATGGTGCAAAAACGAACAAGACCATCCACATGTAATAGGTTATAAATTAGCTGATTTTTCTGTACGTAATACTAAATCACGGTGAGGTACAGCAATATATGTCATAGAAAACCTCCCATATCTGAAAAATAATATTGATATATAGTGATTTAGAAATATCATGTATTAAATTTAATTTTGACAAGATGGTTCCAGCGCTTATCAAGGAAGCCAAGACTGTTTCGAGACAAGTGCGTCTGGTAGATGAACAGAGTCTTGCCCGTTGGCAACGCACCAAGTATCAACAGTCACAGGGACGCCTCTCTTCACTATGGGAGCAACTTCAAGACGGTACCATCACCACATCCTTCTTCCTTCGTGCCGTCGGACACATGTACGACATTCCTGTGCCAGACCAGAACCAGAAGAAGACACTGACAGCGACTTTTATACTTTTATCATACATTTTTTTCATATTTACTGACAGCGACTGATTTAATTAACACTGAGTGAACTGTATGGCTTGTATTATGTTCGTTCATATGTGGCTACAATCTATATGTTTATATAACATTTATTTATTAAATGCTTAATGAATATTCTTTATGTTTAGAATAATATAGTGCGTTTGTTTTTGGTGAGCTAATCAAATTGAACCATTATAGTGCTGTACTGCGTATGATAGTAACTGTATATGTTATTGTAGTGCTGCAAGTGTGACCTCTTTTATATTATGTAAGCGACAGTGTAACTGTAAATGATTTAAAAGTTATATATATTTATGTGAGAGTCAGAGATAGTGTGTTTGTTAGTGTGTATGAATTTATTGTTATAGTAGTGCTGATATTATATTTTAGAGAGTGAAAATGTGCATTCAGTGTAATTATTTTGTTATTATCTTGCAATAAAGAATAATGGATACTCATATAACTTGTTTTTTTTATCTACACAGAACTATTCAAAATATTGTCAACTTTAAAAAAATATATTAACTATATTCGATATTACAAAAAAACAACATGTGTTATAGAAGCCTCTGATGTTACCTGAAAAAAAAATTCATTAACTATTATAACACATAACACCAAACAAAAGATCAAACTATATAAAGACCTTGCTGATTACGTAACTTTAATCAACCAGGATTTGATTGAATTAAGTGATTACGAGTGGCATTACCTTAGTTCACAATCATCAGACAATTGTTAAATAAACAAACCAATTATAGATTAATGATTTGACTAAACAAGTCATTATATGATGAGTTAAATTTTATAGGTCCCATTGGACTGTAAATATTTATTTAGCTATTCTGTGGGTGAATTAAATAAAATAAAAATCGTCAGGACATTCAAAGTTATCATGGAAAATAACTTCATATTAATATGTTGAAGCTGCTATACAAACAGACACAATCACACTCAGTTTCGTATCGATTTAAAATAATTCTTTGACTGGTACACCAATACTTCACTTACCTGTTGTCATCCATCATCGATACTTTTTGCAAAATCTATTTATACTGTTAAAAATCCTCCAATTAAAGTCAATACAGTTTATTCATATTTTATTATGGGGCCGGATCGACTTTGGGCCGGATCGACGTGGGCCGGATCGACTTGGGACGGATCGACTTTGGGCCGGATCGACTTGGGGCCGGATAGGTTTGGGGACGGAACGACCGGATACCTTCAATTTTAACTTTAAGCTTGGAAAGAACTTTCATACCAAAAGATGCAGGATAGTAATTTCTATTTAAAAGTGTGACAACTGCTGGTGAAAAGATGTATTAAGTTTAAATTATGTTGATAACAGTCTACATAGCTAATTTAAAAAAAAGCTGGCTCTTGCAGGAACCCAGGGATGAGCTCCAGGGATTGAAGGCTAATAATGTGTTTTCTGCATTTGCCGTTTACGCCGTAAATAACCTATTTCAAGATTGAGGGCTCTTTGAGGCGATGTTTCCGTGTTGGTGTTCGTTACTTCCATTTCTTCTGACATTTTAAACTTTTGTTGTTGTTGTAAATCTGAAAATGGCGCTCAAAACAAAGGTTGTAAGGTAGACAGACATTGGTCAAAACGCGAGCTTCCGGTTTGATCTTATTATCTTCCTTGTGAAGAACACGGACAGACACGATATTACTATGAGAATTAGATATCCATTTAGAAATTGTACAATGAAAGACAAGTTCATGGCAATTACAGTGTGTGGTCTTATTTTGATAGGTACGTTATGGTTACATATAACAATCTTATGTTTTTCTCCCCAACCTTCCCTCTACTTTTGCATGTAAATCCTTCCAATGGAACACCACATACGTAAGAGTAATAATTTAGCACCACACACTATAACATTTATGTACACAAAGTTTAAAATCTAAGAAAAAATACGACAGATTATATTTAAATCAGGGAAAAAATACACCGTCTCTCCCCATTTTTTCTGTCTATTTACATATCAGGATGGGACCCCCCAAATGAGGGCAAATCCCTTTAGGAACGATGGACTGTCCCTGAGGCAAGGGGTTATTTTGCTGTAGTAAAAATGATAAAAGACAAATTTCGTTTTTTTAACTTAAAAAGGGGAAAATTCATTATATTTGGAACAACTTTGCTAAAAGAGGGGTCCACTTATTTTCAATACACCTTATCGCTATTTAGTCCAATCCGGAAAAAACAGTCATTTAGACAACTTCCTGTGTGGGTCAACAGGCCGCAAACAAAGGTCATCAGTAACGAGCTGAGGGAGGGAAAAATTTAGAAAGCGATCAATAGGAAACTTTGATAGATTATGATCCACTTTTTCCAAACTCAAATTATAGTCAAAAAAATATTGTGTTTGAAGTATTTACGATGTTTTAAACAGGTCTCATTAAAAAGTATCATGCATGGTGATTTGTTTAAACAGGGTCCCAGATAGCGTCAACTGGATGAAAAAGTTGTGTAATTTTAGAACTTATCCGGAATGGAATAAATAGCGATTAGGTGTATAATAAAGAAGATTGAAGTCCATGAAGATTCCAAATTTCATAGATATGTTTTGTCGATATAATACCAGATAGACCTAGTGTGCTTTGGGGAAAAGGTTCTGCAAATAACGTAAATATCTGCCCTTTTGTACTTAAAAGTTGTTTAAAAAAAAGAAAATGTTATCACTTGAAATTAACCCCTCATAAAAGGGATAGTCATTACTTTGAGGAATTATCCTTCATTTGAGGGGTTGCTCCCAACCTGATTATTAAGCAAAATATTAACACTGTTTAATAGAGGATGGTAAAGGGTTATGTTTGTGCAATGTGATCGCCATTTTTTATTTCACGTTCAACATGTTTTTACTTTTTTATTTGATGTTCAGTCGTGTAAGACAAGTGAGTCATTCAACGTGTTCTGCTTATTTAATTTTACATGCATCGTGATTTTCAAATGCTTATTTTGCGTGCTCAGTATTTTTTCAAATAAAATTCAAACACTTGGCAGGGATCGTCAAGAAAAAATGGATTCAATTTTGCTTTTTTATAAAGCGGAAAGGCCTTTGATGTTGTTCCTTATCGATTTGGAGCTTCCAAGATAAATGTACTGGTTTCCAGTCTTGGTAACTATTCTATATAATTGGCTATCTATAATGACTCAATTACCAAACCAGTACATAAGTTTAAAATGGTGGAAAATACAAAAGTTAAGAAGATCGTTTTTAAAAGCTGTAAACCATTTATATCATAAATGTGTACACTAAATCAGGAAAAATCAAGTAAAACAGAGAGTTGATATGCATGTTTAGATGTACATGAAGACCATGTAGACAGTGAATCAGTCACAAAAGGGTCACATCAAAGTCTTTTATTTTTCGTCTTGCATTCATGACAGAAATTATTTCACATTCAACGTGAAATAATGTCTCATTTCACGTTTTTTCCATGCAAGCACCGCCCTATTACCACCCTCTTTATACACTGCACTATTGATACTATAACTGTCTTTTGAAATCCTACCCAAACCATTACTTTAAAAGTCTTATTCTATGGGTTTGCAGCTTATAACATAGATCTGATGCTAGATTTTTAATAAAGGTAATGTCCTCTTCTGAAATAAAGATGCACACTTTATGACAAATGAACTTTTATTTAATGATATTGCTAGTTTGATTCTCTCGTGCTGGTGATGCCTATTTTAGACTGGCGCAGGACTTGATTGAAAAATGCTTATGTGCACACATAGAAACAACATGGTGCTTTGAGACGAAAAAAAGACAGACACAAGCTACACCAATATGGCAGATCAATGAAAGTTTTTTTTTACGATAAACCATGAATATCTTATTCCTTTCCTTCAGAGTGTCTGGAAAATCCCCTGAAACATATTTATAAAGAAGTTTTATTTAAAATGTATAACTATTAGCATTCCCTTTTATGCATTAAATAATCAAAACTAAATGATTGATTGAATTATGTTTTTTATTCAAAACAAACGAAAAATAACCTAAAAAAAATCTAAACTAAATGATTGAATAAATTATTTTATTTATTCATAACAAACAAAAAATCAAAAGGCTCCGTGTTGAAGGCCATACTTTGACCTATAATGGTTTACTTTTACAAATTGTTACTTGGATGGAGAGTTGTCTCATTGGCACTCATACCACATCTTCTTATATCTGTTAACAGATTTTTCATTCCGTATTTGATATCAAAATGTCCTCACAATGACAGGTATTATGTTCAAGCCAGTTTTGCTTAATCTGTTCATTCCGTATATGATATTATAATGTCCTCAATGACAGATATTATGTTCAAGCCAGTTTTGCTTAATATGTTCATTCTGTATATGATATTAAAATGTCCTCAATGACAGATATTATGTTCAAGCCAGTTTTGCTTAATCTGTTCATTCAGTATATGATATTAAAATGTCCACAATGACAGATATTATGTTCAGGCCAGTTTTGCTTAATCTGTTCATTCTGTATATGATATTAAAATGTCCTCAATGACAGATATTATGTTCAAGCCAGTTTTGCTTAATCTGTTCATTCCGTATATGATATTAAAATGTCCTCAATGACAGATGTTATGTTCAAGCCAGTTTTGCTTAATCTGTTCATTCTGTATATGATATTAAAATGTCCTCAATGACAGATATTATGTTCAGGCCAGTTTTGCTTAATCTGTTCATTCCGTATATGATATTAAAATGTCCTCAATGACAGATATTATGTTCAAGCCAGTTTTGCTTAATCTGTTCATTCTGTATATGATATTAAAATGTCCTCAATGACAGATATTATGTTCAAGCCAGTTTTGCTTAATATGTTCATTCTGTATATGATATTAAAATGTCCTCAATGACAGATATTATGTTCAGGCCAGTTTTGCTTAATATGTTCATTCTGTATATGATATTAAAATGTCCTCAATGACAGATATTATGTTCAGGCCAGTTTTGCTTAATCTGTTCATTCTGTATATGATATTAAAATGTCCACAATGACATTTATTATGTTCAAGCCAGTTTTGCTTAATATGTTCATTCTGTATATGATATTAAAATGTCCTCAATGACAGATATTATGTTCAGGCCAGTTTTGCTTAATATGTTCATTCTGTATATGATATTAAAATGTCCTCAATGACAGATATTATGTTCAAGCCAGTTTTGCTTAATCTGTTCATTCTGTATATGATATTAAAATGTCCTCAATGACAGATATTATGTTCAAGCCAGTTTTGCTTAATCTGTTCATTCCGTATATGATATTAAAATGTCCTCAATGACAGATATTATGTTCAAGCCAGTTTTGCTTAATCTGTTCATTCCGTATATGATATCAAAATGTCCTCAATGACAGATATTATGTTCAAGCCAGTTTTGCTTAATCTGTTCATTCTGTATATGATATTACAATGTCCTCAATGACAGATATTATGTTCAGGCCAGTTTTGCTTAATATGTTCATTCTGTATATGATATTAAAATGTCCTCAATGACAGATATTATGTTCAAGCCAGTTTTGCTTAATCTGTTCATTCTGTATATGATATTAAAATGTCCTCAATGACAGATATTATGTTCAAGCCAGTTTTGCTTAATCTGTTCATTCCGTATATGATATTAAAATGTCCTCAATGACAGATATTATGTTCAAGCCAGTTTTGCTTAATCTGTTCATTCCGTATATGATATCAAAATGTCCTCAATGACAGATATTATGTTCAGGCCAGTTTTGCTTAATCTGTTCATTCTGTATATGATATGACAATGTCCTCAATGACAGATATTATGTTCAAGCCAGTTTTGCTTAATATGTTCATTCCGTATATGATATTAAAATGTCCTCAATGACAGATATTATGTTCAAGCCAGTTTTGCTTAATCTGTTCATTCCGTATATGATATTAAAATGTCCTCAATGACAGACGTTATGTTCAAGCCAGTTTTGCTTAATCTGTTCATTCCGTATATGATATTAAAATGTCCTCAATGACAGATATTATGTTCAAGCCAGTTTTGCTTAATATGTTCATTCTGTATATGATATTAAAATGTCCTCAATGACAGATATTATGTTCAAGCCAGTTTTGCTTAATATGTTCATTCTGTATATGATATTAAAATGTCCTCAATGACAGATATTATGTTCAAGCCAGTTTTGCTTAATATGTTCATTCTGTATATGATATTAAAATGTCCTCAATGACAGATATTATGTTCAAGCCAGTTTTGCTTAATCTGTTCATTCCGTATATGATATTAAAATGTCCTCAATGACAGATATTATGTTCAAGCCAGTTTTGCTTAATCTGTTCATTCAGTATATGATATTAAAATGTCCACAATGACTTAGATATTATGTTCAAGCCAGTTTTGCTTGATTCTGTTCTTAGCTGGTCACATGACCAGTTGCCTGTTTTTGTTGAGAAACAAATTCGCCAGTTTGCCTATTCTTTTTGAAATTAGCTTTTGTCAAAACACTGAATGCATATATTTATGTTAGGAACATAAATATTATGAAATAGTGTCACTGAAACAACTATTGGCCAGACTGGTACTGTGGACAAAACTTCTCAAAAGCAATCAGATTCTTGAGACCCTGTGGGTAGGGAGCTCATATTCTTGAATAAGATTCCTGAGCCTTTATTGGTAGAGATCATGTATTGTTCATATATTAAATGAGATAGGTGCTACCTGATAAGCTCCTGAAGGTTATTGGTAAAATTGAGAATGGAAATGGGGAATATGTCAAAGAGACAACAACTTAACCAAAGAGTAGACAACAGCTGAAGGCCACCATGGTGCATGTTTGTTTTATTTATCACCATAATATTTGGTAATCTGTTATACAAATTTGCCGGAAATCGTATGCTCCACAGATACAAATTTGCAGGGAATAAATGGTATGCTCCTGATAAATGTATAAAGAAAAATCCAAAGAGTTTTAATGGCCTGCCATATGTATTTGCCTAGTCATGCTAATGTTGTTGATGCTGTTTCAGCACGTACAGTAGTATTGACTCTTGTACCATTTATGCTCCCTTCTGGAACATAATATTTCTGAGTGCCTGTAATTTAATCAGGTTTTGTGATACTTGATCAATGATACCCAAGGTCATCTGTTTTCTATTGGACATTTGGTCAGGTAATTATATAAAGATAGAGCATTTACTGGGCCAAATAGATTTATCTTGGTTTGAGTAAGTGGAGACACTACATGTATATATTGTTTTCTATGTTGTTCCTGTATAATTGTTCAATACACGACCTGCATGAAATTTTAAAACATTAATAAAAAAAGAAAGCAACCCACGAAGTATGTATTATTTGTCTATACTTTGAGAAAACATTTATTTGAGGAGACACATCTTGGACACCTTTGTTCTACATGCTATATTTATACCATTTAAATATTGTCCTTTCACAGATAAATGAAAAAAGAAAAATATTTCTTGAATCCAAGTTAGAATATTTTAAACCATTGCCGTGATGTCACCCTATTCATTTACTGTGGTTTTATTTTTCTAGAATCAAAGCTTCCTAAATCTGTCACTGAAATGGACTCACCAAATTATATTCAGTTGTTTCCTTTGTGCGCCTAAATTCATTAAGTTTGAATTGGCTAATTTACTGATTTCTGTTCACTAATGGAATTAATTTAAAACTTACCTTTAATTTTTGTAATTTTTATATGCCTTCAATGGGAATTGAACCCCTCCTTGAAATCTGTTATGCGTGACTGTTATCAAGACATGGACGAAACCTCTTGGCTACCAATGGGTTGCAATTTAGATGTTTATTTTATATATACAAATGAACATATGATACACATAGGTACAACACCAACACGGGACTTGTACCTTTATATATGCATAATAGACAATCATATCTTATAAGTTGGTAGCTGCGAGATTAAGATCAATGAGTTATAGTCATTAGAAGAGAGACTTGTCAGTTTAGGTTCAAATCCCTGTTTTCTCTTTGTTGTCCCTATTCTTTAGTTTTTCCGTTTTTCTTATTTTGTATGTTACTGTGGATATTTTTGTAATGATAGCATGTTTTCCCGTTTATTTTTGTCGAGCTTGCGACTTCTGTCGCAGAAAGCTCGACCTAGGGATAGTGATCTGGTGACAGGGGCGGCAGTACACACTTCTTAAAAGCTTAATATTTCAGAAGGTAAAAGACCTGTTTCCTTCATAATTTGTATATAGATGCCTTATGATATGAAGTGTCCGTCTGTCATATGTCCATTGTCCTTTACCTCATTTTTATGGTTCAGTGACTACTTGAATAACAAGTTCAGATTTTTTGTAATCTTAATTTCTCTCTTATTATGAGTAATAGGATAACTATATTTGGTATATGCGTACCTTGCAAGGTCCTCATGCCCGTCAGACAGTTTTCACTTTACCTTGACCTCATTTCATGGATCAGTGAACAAGGTTAAGTTTTCGTGGTCAAGTCCATATCTCAGATACTATAAGCAATAGGTCTACTATATTTGGTGTATGGAATGATTGTAAGGTGTACATGTCCAACTGGCAGGTGTCATCTAACCTTGGCCTCATTTTCATGGTTCATTGATCAATGTTAAGTTTACTTGGTTTAGATTGTTTCTTAGATGTGCAATAGGTCAACTATATTTGAAGCATACTTGTTTCTTAGATGTGCAATAGGTCAACTATATTTGAAGCATACTTGTTTCTTAGATGTGCAATAGGTCAACTATATTTGAAGCATACTTGGTGTATGGAATGATTGTAAGGTGTTTATGTATTTCCAGCTAGGTTTATCTAACCTTGACCTCATTTTTTTGGATCATGTTAAGTTTATGTGATAGTTTTTTTTTAAAGTTTTATATTTAATTTTGAAAAGACATCAACACAATAGTTTAAGGTAGAGACACAATGGATAAGCATTGATTCATGAAAAACAAACCATTCGCCCTCCGGGCTCATTGTTTCTTTTTCTAGAATCAACACTGTTATCCATGGTACAAATGTATGTATAATACAGATTTTACCTAGACATGGTTCAAAGAAATTTACAACAGTAACTTATTCAGTAAAAAAGTAATGGTTAAGTTTGCAAAAAGATCAAATATCTAGAAAAGCATTAACATAATATGTTTTTTGTTAATGTATTTTGAAACAAAAAGAAACAGATGGCACATACGGTACATGTAGTAAAAGCTGTTGTCATTAGACATTTATCTACAGCACAAAAAGATTACAGCTTTGATGGATGTGTTTACAATACACATTACAGACTTGATTATGTTTTCAAATGAAACAATGTAAAACAGTGTGTTAAGATAGATTTCAAGAACATTTGTTCACTCTTAGCTAGTTCCACAGGCACTTGTTTCTATCCATAGGAAGATCCAATATCAACGTATATTTACGATGATAGTGGATCTTTTCATGGATAGAAACAAGTGCCTGTGGGTAGTTCTTAGAGATGTTAATTTGACATTGAGAATCAAGTAGTTGAGACCTAATTTTTAACCCAGGAAAGCAATCTAGAATCTACAAATGTTTGAAGTTCTTAATGTTCTTTAATGTGACCTGTATTACAAAAAAATGAACTAGAAGTTATTTTTTTGTAATTCACAGGTCTCATTGGTTGTTTTTTTGTTGTTGTTGTTGTAATGTTCGGAAATTTCAAATACAGCTTATTAATAATTAAGTCATAATATTGGTAGTTCCTTTAGTTTTTCAGTTTTACCCTTATATTGAATTTTGTTAGCATTGACCCAAATATGATTTTGAAATGGAAAATAAATAGCATATGGTGTCACTTCATGTTTACAAATGTAGGTCACCTAACCAAGAGCAGTAAATACATGTAATCTGCTATTGCAATAACTTGATATCAACCTTCTGTTAATTGGGTCTTTCAACCTTCAAAATAAAGAACATGTCTTTGTCCTCAATTTTCCAAGAATCTCAAATCATCAGAACTTAACCTTAATATTATCATTTATAGCTTATGAGTTGCACTAACATCCCCCTAATTAAAAAAAAAGTTGAGAGGAACATAAGAATTTGTCACTGGATTGTTCTGTCAAAATTGACTGAAGCATCCCGAGGAAATAGCAAGCAATTTAATAAAAATCAGTCACCAATATCATTTTTTGATAAGAAGGAGACATGTGTTTGGGAGATAGCTCTTTGAAAGAAAAAGGGTTTGGTCAAAAGGGGTATATGTTAAAAGTGTATAAGCTGTATAATATCACATACCAAATACCTTTTCAACATTTTGGCAACTTGCTAAAAAAAAATACACAGCAAAAAAAATCAAACGGAAGATAAAGAAGAAAAAGTATTCAGAATAAAATCAAGATTTTTTCCGCAGAAAATAGGAAGTTCAAAGACTAAATTCACCTTCATTTATAATTATTAATAAACCTTTATAATATCCTGAACCATTAGACTATAGTTTTAATTCTTATTATTTTATTTTTATTGCAGTATGGTTTGGAAACTTTTCACATTCTGTTGGAGAAATGTAAGTAGAAAGAAAACGATAAACAAATTTTGAAATAACCAAGTTGCAGTCTTGAATAAGAGTACTTCATGAATGAACTTTAAATGAAGGTTGATTGTTTCCTATTATAAAATATTCACATTTAAACAATGACAGACTGATACCGTATAGCGGTTTATTTTCGCGGGGTGTAAATTTTCGCTTATTTTCGCGGATAGAACAAAATCGCCAAAATAAATTCTGCCAATTTAAGAGTGCACATTCAAATGTATTGAAATAAGTTTTGAATCCGCCAAAATAATAATCGCCAAAATATTTCGTATACCTTATTCAATGAAAATCGCGAAATTTTACACTCGCGAAAATAACCCGCTATACGGTATCAATACGAGAGAAATTCTTTTGTACACAAGAAGATATGGGGACCCCAGGTGTATAGTGTATGGATTTAAATGTAATTAGCTTCATGTTTTTGGATCAGTATTTCATATAGTGCAACACAACTCTATTGTCACTGGCTTGATAGCTTCATTTTCCAGGTGAGCTTTTGCCACCACTCTGTGACTGTGATCCATAAATTTCTTTAAAAAAATCTTCTCCATAGAAACTGCTCAATGGATTGAAACCAAAGTTTGTCTGCTTCATCTATGGGATGTCAACTATAAAGCTTGTTATGTTCGTTCAGGTTGATCAACCAATATGGCTGATGTGTCTAAGGGTCAAATTACAGTTTTGGCTAATATCTCTTAAACTATAGCAGTAAAGGGAAAACTGATAAGGTATAAATGGTCAGCACAACAAAAGGTATAAATGGTCAGCACAACAAGTTCTTTCTACCCTGAACATTTTGGGAAAATCTTTGTACCTGTTTTGAAGTTATTGCCCCTTAAGTGCTGATTTTTGTCTTGCCTGTGACGAAAGTCGCAGAATGTGAGAGACAGGGATTACTATCCAGCAGTGGCAGCAGCGTAAACTATTTTTATAAAGCTTTATATTTCAGAACGTAGATGACCTGGATGCTTCATACCTTGTATGCAGATACCTAATGTTACAAAGTTTCCTTCAGTCATATGTCCATGATCCTTGACATCATTTTCATGGTTCAGTGACTGCTTGAAAAAAATTACAGTTTTTTTGTAATGTGAATTTCTCACTTATTATGAGTAATAGGATAACTATATTTTGTATATGGGTTCCTTGCAACGTCTACATGTCCATCAGGCAGGGTTCACCTGACCACGGCCTCATTTCATGGATCAGTGATCAGTAGAATAACTGTATGTGGTGTATGGAATAGTTGTAATGGGTACATGTCAGTCTGGCAGGTTTCATCTGACCTTGACCTCATTTTGATGGTTCATTGGTCAATGTTATAAGTTTTTGTGTTTTGGTCTGTTTTTATACAACCGAGGTCGTATATTGGTATGATGTTGGCGTCGTCGTCGACGTCCGAAGACACATTGGTTTAGTTAAAGTGAATGGATCTCTATGAAATTTTACCATAAGGTTCAATACCACAAAAGGAAGGTAGGGATTGATTTTGGGGGTTATGGTACCAACAATTAAGGAATTAGGGGCCAAAAAGGGGCCAAAAATAAGCATTTTTCTAGTTTCATGACAATAACTTGTGTGTTAGTGTATGGATCTCTCTGACATTGTCAATGTCAGAGAGATCCATACACTAACACACAAGTTATGTCTGGAAGTTACAAAAATGCTTATTTTTGGCCCCTTTTTTGGCCCCTAATTCCTAAAATTTTGAGGCAATTACCCCCAAAATCAATCCCAGCATTCCCTTTGTGATATGGAACCTTGTGGTACAATGATACCACAAGGTTCCATATCACAAAGGGAATGCTGGGATTGATTGATACCACAAGGTTTCGATGGAAAAGGGGACGGGATTGTAGTTACAACAATTGGAACATGTCTGCTATCATCTGTGAAACAGATATTCCATAATGGCCCACCAACTCAAGATGGCGTCCATAAAATTTATAAAGGGAATTTTTGCAGTTTTTGGCTGTTATCCTGAAAAATATAGGAGCTAGTAATAAAGGTTAAAAGTGTAAATTGCAAAAATGATCAGCACTACATGATCAAAACTGAAATTGACTGTATTTTCTTTTTCAACAGTAACAATCTGCTTTATTGCCCTTTCATGCTTCAGTTATGTGTTATTTAATTAAATTTTTATACTGAATTTTCTATTGTTGTTGTCTTAGAAATCAAAGATTCTTGTTTTCCCAGTTTTTATTACTAGAGGGTAATATTGAAAAAATTATCCGCTGAGTCATGTGTTAGAGTAGAATGTTACCCTCATATTGACAGTAAGTTATAATGATTAGAAATCAATTTGAATGTCATGAGACACGAGTATAAAACAAAATGAACAGATAAGATACCTTTTGGCAAACACATGATAACTCGTGAGAAAACTGGTGTCTAGGAGACTTTTTAGTAATCTTACAGCAAATATTTGGTACATTGTACTTCATAACACATATTATAAGAAGAAATGATAACTCTTTAGACTTCTTTTAAATGAAATTACATTTATGGCAACTCACTGAACTCAGGGACATGAAAACATAGTTACTCAGATGTAAAAATATGTTAACTACAAAATAAAAAAGAAATGCAAATTGCGTTGTGTACTAAAAATAACAAATTTTATTAAGGCATTTCAGTACTACAGTTAAACTGTCAAATAATGACCATGCATTCACAGAGACTACCTGATCAAATCAAACAGACTGGCATACTCATGACTGTACACATTACTTACAAAAATTGTAGTACACAGAATGGAAAAAGAGTATCTTTTAAAACAATAAACTTACAAAATTTATTTTATAAAAATAAGGAGATATAGTATGATTGCTAATGAGACAACTGTCCACAAAAGGTCAAATGAAGTGGATGTAAACAATTACAGGAAACAGTATGGCCTTCAACAATGAGGAAAACAAAAACTGTATAGTCGGCTATAAAAGGCCCAAACATAAACGCATTACAAAAAAAAACACATAACAAAAAAAATATAAAAGGCCCCAACATGAAATATGATACAATTCAATTGAGAAAACAAACAGTAGCATGTTTTTGGAAAAGAGTAAAGCATTCAATAAATCAGTCAGAAATATTTTCTTACTTCTAATTCTATTTTTTTTCAGTGAAAGAAGAAGTGTAAATAATGATTTATTTAATGAAATTGAAAATTTGAAACGCAGAGTTCAGGAGCTGGAACATGGGTAAATTTTCAATAAAGCATGAATTTTGTTTATATTGAGTTAAAATGTCTATAATGATATCAAAATATACCAAAACATTAGCAGAAAATAACTGCTTGTAAAAGGTTTAAGTTGCTTATATAGATTTTATAAGTTGAACATAAGAATTATTTGCATATCTGACCACTCATATCATTTTGTCTACCTAAAAGAGGTAAAAGACAGGATAAGAAATTTCTGCCTGGATAAATTTTGTTTTTGAAAACCTCTAATTATAAATATCATATATTTTCTTATGATAACTTTGTGTTTGCATTGCTGATATGGCACGAATTTGACAGTACTTATCAGACTAGTGGGCCTCTACATTGGCTGATATAAGCTTCCCTAACAATTTCAATGGGAAGGCCATATCAGCCATGACATGCAAAAACAGTATCAGCCTTCTTTCGGTTATGGAAATCGTTTTTCTTGTGTTTTATTTAGAAACTATGGTCCTTTCCATTTTAGAACTTGTATACATAAACGCTTACTTAACTATGTCCTACAGCAATACAACTAAACTAGATAATCAATTACATCTTAGAGGAAGATCACTTTAAATCTTTGATTGACGTACATCGGATTGCACAGATTTGTTATCAAGAAGAAAAAAATACAAATATCAAATGAGGTGCTGTCAACTGGCAATTGGTTTGAATGTGGCAGTCAAATTGATTATTTGAAATATACTGTTTGTGTGCAATATTCATTATTGCATAAAGTGTGCAAACAAATGCAGATATTGTCACTTGTTAAATAGGAATCAAAAACTTGCTATGGATTTTTAGAATAAAGACAGTTTTTCAAATTTGATTATGAATCGTTTTCTGTGTACTTGCATTCTAGATCTTGTTTTGCAGGCTATTAGAATTTCTAGCTGGCTTATAAAATTTGTTTATCTTTAGTCATTCTTGCTAGTTTAATCAATGGCTTAAATTCTAACCATGTTCAGCTGTATGGTAATACTTGCTGGTTAAAGCATTTAGAAATTGAATAGGTCAGAAGTTTTCATCTTTTTTATCAATATTAATTTTGAATTGCGACTTAAACATCGTATTTTAAAGGTCTATCAATAGCATGATTAGTCCAATAAATAGTTATTTGCAGATTAGGAAAAAATTCTGTTGTTTCTGTGCAATAACTTATGAACTGTTCAGCCAATGCTTTACAAATTTTAATATGTTGTTATTGATGATAAAATGAATGTCAAATTTGATATTGACTATTTTCACTTTACCCGGTAAGCGTTCTGGACATATGATCCTTGATAGAGTGGAAAATAGGCATAGAATGTGACAGGTCAAACGAGCCTGAAAGCACCATACATTAGAATACATGAAGTATAATTTGTTGAACAAACCCATTCTGAAAGGTTGTAAATGTTGAAATACTATTGGTTATGATGATAGATTTAATATCTAGTTAGGCTGATTTGTTTGAGGTGAAATTAAATATGATGGTTTTCATTTTTGAATATTTTGTCAAGGTTTGAAGGGACAAGGTATATTTTTGAATCAAGCCACACGTAATCAAAATTTTGTTTATTGCAATTTCAGCACATTTTCTGTAATTCTACTTTTAATTAATACTTGCTTGAAATTATTTGATATATTTTTGAAATTCAGAGTTTGAAACAGATTTATTTTAGGTAATTGATAATATAGGATTTTATGTTTAATATGTTTGAAAGAAAATACTATAGACAATTATATTTCTACACATTTTTTTTGCATCGTCAGTTAAGATTATGGATTGAAAATGATCTGATGAAGATCTTATTGTCTCCCTTTTATACCCCTTCCCACATATATACAGAATTTAGATATAAAGAAAAGAAATCTGATAAGCAAAATTTAAATTTTGTGTGGCCATATATATTATTTACTAATACAGTTTGTACAATATTTTTGTGTAATAACATAGTTTCCCACTCTACTTGTTATAAAACTTAATCCTACTTATCAGTGTTTTATTTCATATGTAAAAACATATGCAAGACTTTGTATTTCAAAAGCATTCATAATTTTTTCTTCGCTTCAATGCAGTTGAAAAAGGTAGACTTTGGCGTGGTGTTTACGGCGGTGGGATAGTTTTATAAAAAAAAGAAAAAAAACGGGAATGCTCTTCATTTGGGAGGAACAAAAAATATTTCAGGTTTTTTTTCACACAAATTAACAAGAATAGTTCTTGGAATCAATTTACAATGCTGAATGAGTGTGTCACATTTTATATTACAAGAGATACTGAACTTATTTGAATGTTTGTTAAATACTATGATTTATTCCATTAAAATTCAGGCATGCCAGTCATGATGGCAAGAACTATTGCTGTAACTGTATAAGCCACTGAATTATACTATTGTAGTGATATAAATATTCTGTGATCTCTTGATTTATTCTAATGAACTAATGTATACTTTTCTATATATATGTGCTGGCACAATCAGTTTTAGGTATTACTGTATTTATTAGTATGGTTGTGGTGGATGATGTTGATTATTTATCTATTTAATTTTAACAACTTTCTTGATAATATTCTCATTCCTCTACTTTACATATTGAAGATTATCTTTGCTTTTCTTCACATATTCATTTTCAGTTGCACCAATTTTTGCAGAGGTTGCACTTATATGATTTCTTCCATTAGTAAGTTGCATGAGACCATTTTGTTATCTAATTGTCAATATGACTGCTTATAGAGCCTTGCAATCTTGTGTAGCTATGTGGGATACACACAAATAGTATGGAGGAAATTCTAAAGCTTCAGTGGTTGTAAAGTGGTCACATTTTAGTGGCAATATTTGAAATATCAACTATTTTCTAATGTGGAAATGAAATGATATGGAAAAGGTAGTTTTATATTCAGTACTAAACTTAAAATTGCTACTCTGTGAAAATCTACTCTCATTTTAGAGAATATTTCAAAATTCACTGATATGCATTGGTTGCTAAATATTCTCATACTTTACCAACAAATGAAATGTTTGTGCTATAGAGACAGCCATAGTTATTTCCCAACTTGAAAATATGAATAAGAACAAAAACTAGGTAAATGTCTCTTAGAAAGTCAGTCAAAAATTTAGTAAAACCAAGACCACCATATTCATATTGGCTTCAAAGTAATTGCTGGTCCTGTACAGTAATCTTTGATGTCCATAGAAAATTATTTAAACATCTCTTTTATTGACTGTAAAAGTGAGAATAATAGAATGAACTGAGTTAAGCTGTAAGTTGTTTTTTATTTTAGATTTATATTGATGACTAAATGCGAAATTTATAGGTTGAATTTTAATAAGCAACATTTATATGCATGTGAAACATATTTTTCACAAGTAAATCACTGTAGAATGATATCAAATTTATTTACAAGAAGGAAAGTGACCTAAAATAGATTGGTTTAAAGTTTGTGAAACTTATTTTCAACAACAACAAAATTATATTTATGTAGTATGTGTATAAATATATTTTCCTGCTTTTTTAGACAGAAAGTGTATCCTGAAGTTAAATTCTTAAATGTAAAAGACAGAAAAAGAATACTGGTATGTACATATATATTTGATTAGAATGAAGGTGAATTATACATATAATGGGTATAGGTGGTTGAGAATATCAATAATAAAAAAAACAAAAAAAATATTAAAAACACTGATACATGTATTCCATTTTTAACTCACCTGACCTAAAAGGAGCCTCTTGTTCAAATAACATACGAAATATTTCTTGCTATCACTGACAATTTTTTTTCTTTTTCTTTTTGAAAAGATTGATTTTATGTAGAGTTATGGTAATAAAAAAATTCAAGAGGTTTATTTTATGCGATAATTTTATGCTTATTTGGCAAAAAAGGTTTTGGTAGCCCCGTTTACAGGACGTATTATGGTATACTGTTGTCCGTCCTTCGTTTACATATCGGACAATAACTCAAAAACGCTTTAACCAATTTGCATTAAACTTTGGTGAATTGTTTCTTTCTATTGACATGAGCTCCCTTTCAATTTTTATAAATTTTAGATTTTACGTTTCCGAGTTATGGGGTGTTATTCATTAAAAAGGGGGATTTTCCAGTTTTCCTGCACTTACCCTTTATTGAATAATCTGAAAATGTTCTCAATTATTATATGACTTGTTGTGTATAAAGATAGACCAATTATTATATGACTTGTTATGTATAAAGATAGACCAATTATTATATGACTTGTTATGTATAAAGATAGACCAATTATTATATGACTTGTTGTGTATAAAGAAAGACCAATTATTATATGATTTGTTATGTATAAGATAGACCAATTATTATATGACTTGTTATGTATAAAGATAGACTAGTTATTATATGACTTGTTGTGTATAAAGATAGACCAATTATTATATGACTTGTTATGTATAAAGATAGACCAATTATTATATGACTTGTTATGTATAAAGATAGACCAATTATTATATGACTTGTTGTGTATAAAGAAAGACCAATTATTATATGACTTGTTATGTATAAAGATAGACCAGTTATTATATGACTTGTTGTGTATAAAGATAGACCAATTATTATATGACTTGTTATGTATAAAGATAGAACATTGTACAATTGAAAGCAAGAACAAATTAATTCCTGTAATGTTTTAAGGGGCTGTAAGTCAGTACACTTTTGAGGGCAGTAACCAAAGGAACACTCCTTTAAACTGATACAAATTAAATGTTTTAGATAACCGGTGGGGCTGGATTTGTTGGTTCCCACCTGGTTGACAGACTAATGATAGAAGGACATGAAGTGACTGTTGTTGATAATTTCTTCACTGGTCGGAAGAGAAATGTGGAACATTGGATTGGCCATGAAAATTTTGAGTTACTGAATCATGATGTAATCAATCCCTTATTTATAGAAGGTTTGTTTAACTGTAATCAATCCCTTATTTATAGAAGGTTTGTTTCACTGTAATCAATCCCTTATTTATAGAAGTTTTGTTTCACTGTAATCAATCCCTTATTTATAGAAGTTTTGTTTGACTAATCAATCCCTTATTTATGGAAGGTTAATTTCACTTTTCACACAATTTACTTTAATGTTTTCATATTAAGAAATTACTAACAATGTCATTGTAAAGTTCATGTTTTGAATCTTATAACAATGCTTATAGAATTGTAAAACAGTATTCATAATGACATTCTTAAAGTGATATGATTCCTCTTTAACAAAAAGATGAATATTTTTTATATACTTGAATTGCTAAGTTTTACTATAAATTTGTGTACAAAGGCTTTCTTTCAAACAGAAATCATTTATTTATCATAATCTTCAAAAATATACTGCTATTGAATTATTGTCTTCCAGTACTCTTATTTGCATACAGCTTTTTTACATACATATAAGAAGATGTGGTATGAGTGCAAATGAGACAACTCTCCATACAAGTCACAGTTTGTAAAAGTAAACCATTATAGGTCAAAGTACGGCCTTCAACACTGAGCCTTGGTTCACACCGAACAGCAAGCTATATGCATTGAGTTTTTGTTGGAAATCTGGCAATCGCACAGCACGATTTCAAAGGGAAAAACTGTGATGAAAGAAAAAGTAAACAAAAGTGGAAGGAATTAAACAGGATTAACAGATTCTGAAATAAATCTTTAAAATACACCAAATCATTTAACAACTGTTATGACAAAGTTCAATAAACAATTCTAAATAGAAAAAATATAATAAACCCAACTTAAAATCATCTCGCATGCTCCATGCATCTGTGTTGGTCAAGGTCACAATTCGTTAATCTTAGACAACAAAACCTGAAGGTTAATTAGCAGTCAATGTTTTTGATCAAAAATCACTGATTGAAATATTTGTTGTTGATTATATGTTAAGAGTTTGGAAGAAATGTCCAACAGACACAGTGAATATTGTTTCTGATGGGTTCTTTTGAAAATGAATAAGAAGACCTCAGATGTGTTATTTTATACCCCTAACTATTTAATTGAACAGATGTATATTTACATTGCAGTTGATCAGGTTTACCACTTAGCATCACCAGCCTCTCCACCTAATTACATGTATAATCCAGTCAAAACTATCAAGACAAATACCATTGGCACAAATAATATGTTAGGTGAGTTATTAGTTTCTTCATTGAAATAGAAGTCATGCTTGGGTTAATGATGTTTTATCAATATTTTAAAACTATCTCAATAAATGTCAGAATTTTTATGGAAAAAACATAAACTAATGTATAGCATTAATGAAAAATAAAAGGGATATGGTGTGAAAAATATTTGTAAAATACATTTTGGCCTTACATGTGGTAGATAGTCATATAGTATCATAGAAAGAACATGCTTATTGTAGTTGGATTTTTTTCACTTGTAAGTTGCTGAGAGGTCTTTTGCAAAAGCACTATTCAGTAAGATTAATCTTGCTCTATTTTGAAAAAAACCCTACTATTAATGGTCAGTTTGGTGAAAGATGAATTAAGACAGTAATTATTTTAAATTTTAGGACTTACAAAACGTGTGAGAGGTAGACTGTTGTTAGCCTCTACTTCTGAGGTCTATGGAGGTAAGTATGGTGTGAAAAATAATTACACATAAAGTGGTAAGAGCATATAAGTTTACCTTAAATCCATAATTCCCATCTTTCCAAGAACAATTATACACAGTGAAAGTTTAACTTGCCCATGTGGTTTTTTTTCCAATTGATATACTTTTATTAGTCCCATACCGGCAAAGCTGAAGGGGACTTTAGGTTTGCATTCTGTCTGTCCATCTGTCAGTCCATTAAATCAGTTTTCCACACTTTTTTTCTTCATGGTTGAAGATATTGATTTGATATTTGGTATATAGTTTTATCATGACCAGTTACAGATCAAGAATGAATTTTGTTCCGTTCAGATGATTTTTTTTTTGCATATTTATGGTCCTTGGACTTAGAAAATACACGCAAGTAATCAGTTTTCCACACGTTTTTTTGTCATGCTTGAAGATATTGATTTGATATTTGGTATAAAGTTTAACCATGACAAGTTTCAGATCATGTTAGCATTTTGTTTTTGCATGAATTTTTAACTGGAATGGAACTACATATTGCCATGCAATACTCTCAGAATGCTTGTAAGAATTATAAAACTCGTCCGAAGACACATTAGTTTTCGCACTCTAACTTTAGTTTAAGTGAATGGATCTCTATGAAATTTTACCATAAAGTTCAATACCACCAAAAGAAGGTAGGGATTGATTTTGGGGGTTATGGTACCAACAGTTAAGGAATTAGGGGCCAAAAAGGGGCCAAAAATAAGCATTTTTGTAACTTCCAGACATAACTTGTAAGTGTATGGATCTCTCTGACATTGTACCACAAGGTTCCATATCACAAAGGGAATGCTGGGATTGATTTTTGGGGTAATTGCCTCAAAATTTTAGGAATTAGGGGCCAAAAAGGGGCAAAAAACAAGCATTTTTCTAGTTTCATGACAATAACTTGTGTGTAAGTGTATGGATCTCTCTGACATTGTATCACAAGGTTCCATATCACAAAGGGAATGCTGGGATTGATTTTGGGGGTAATTGCCTTCAAATTTTAGGAATTAGGGGCCAAAAAGGGGCAAAAAACAAGCATTTTTCTAGTTTCCAGACAATAACTTGTGTTCAGGTGTATGAATCTCTCTGAAATTGTACTGCAAGGTACCATACCACAAAGGGAAGGCTGGGATTGATTTTGGGGGTAATTCCCTCAAAATTTTAGGAATTAGGGGCCATAAAAGGGCCAAAAAACAAGCATTTTTCTAGTTTCAGGACAATAACTTGTGTGTAAGTGTATGGATCTTTCTGAAATTGTGCTGCAAGGTTCCATATCACAAAGGGAAAGCTGGGTTTGAGTTTGGGGGTAATTGCCCTAAACGTTTAGGAATTTGGGGCCAAAAAACAAGCATTTTTCTAGTTTCCAGACAATAACTTGTGTTCAAGTGTATGGATCTCTCTGAAATTGTACTGCAAGGTACCATACCAGAAAGGGAAGACTGGGATTGAGTTTGGGGGTGATGAATCATAAGGGAGTTCAAAAAATTTGTGGGGGGGGGGGGATTTTTTTTTCCTTTTTTTTCTTTAAAATTTTCCATTTTAAATTGGTTATTTCTGATTTATATATAAAAGCAAATAATAATGATATGGTTTGAATAGGTAAATTAAGCATTTTTAAGTTCTTAGACCACTTTCATTCTGTGTCACAAACCTATCCTGTGTCAAATATTTAATTACAATCCAAATTCAGTGCTGTATCAAGCTTGAATGTTGTGTCCATACTTGCCCCAACTGTTCAGGGTTTGACCTCTGCGGTCGTATCATGCTGCGCCCAAGCGAAGCATTTTATTGAAAATTGTAGTTGTATGATAAGTAATCATCTGTCATTATTTTTGAAATTATAACGTTAACACTTTCACATGGAACTTTTTGTGAAAATTAAAGTTGTGTATCCTTTCCATCAAATGAAATATGTTTTCATTCTGTCAGTTTTTGGTCAATTATAAACATATGCAGGATGTTATTTGATAGATTTAAAACACCTTTCGATCAAATATTTTTTGGGGAAAAAACAGCTTTCTTTTTTATTGGGTTTTGGAGGTGTTGTTGGCAACAAAATAGCTCACTTAATGGGATTGCTTTTCATGAGTAGAAGATCCTTTTCCAGTTGTAATCAAATGAGTTACTTCTATAGCTCAATTGGTTAGAGTGCTGTATCTTACACAGAAGTTCTATGTTACTTCTTTAGCTCAATTGGTTAGAGTGCTGAATCTTACACAGAAGTTCCATATTACTTCTTTAGCTCAATTGGTTAGAGTGCTGAATCTTACACAGTTCCATGTTACTTCTTTAGCTGAATTGGTTAGAGTACAAAATCTCACACAGAAGTTCCATGTTATTTCTTTAGCTCAATTGGTTAGAGTGTCGAATCTTACACAGAAGTTCCATGTTACTTCTATAGCTCAATTGGTTAGAGTGCAAAATCTTACACAGAAGTTTAATGTTACTTCTATAGCTCAATTAATTGGTATGAGTGCTGAATCTTACACAGAAGTTCCATGTTACTTCTATAGCTTAATTGGTTAGAGTGCAAAATCTTACACAGAAGTTCCCTGTTACTTCTTTAGCTCAATTGGTTAGAGTGCTGAATCTTACACAGAAATTCCATGTTACTTCTATAGCTCAATTGGTTAGAGTACTGAATCTTACACAGAAGTTCTATGTTACTTTTTTAGTTCAATAGGTTAGAGTGCCAAATCTTACACAGAAGTTCCATGTTACTTCTTAAGCTCAATTGGTTAGAGTGCCGAATCTTACAGAGAAGTTCCATGTTACTTCTATCGCTCAATTGGTTAGAGTGCTGAATCTTACACAGAAGTTCCATGTTACTTCTTTAGCTCAATTGGTTAGAGTGCTGAATGTTACACAAAGGTTCCATATCTTAAAAAAGAACATGATAGTGTTTATACATGTGATATCAAGTCAAGGTTTGTGTTGTTAAAAGTCATTATGGCATGGTGACATTTGTGGTGGGGAAGTGTAATAGGATTGCTTCCCTTGAGTAGAAGACACATAGCCAGTTGTAGAGAAGTATTTCTTTAACTCAGTCAGTAAGAGGGTCCTGGTTCAAAACCTCGAGATGACAATATCTCCAGATGACAATATCTTAATTTCAAAGGTAGAATAATTTTTTCCTGTTTCACTCCTATAGTTCACATTATTGGAATGGAAGAATACTAAACAGATCTGCATCATATGCAGTTGTGCAGTTTTGATGGGATAATTTTGAAGTGACTTTTCCTTACAACTTACACAGAAGGGAGATATTTTTTCATGTCAAAAACAAAATTTAATTTCTTATTTGACTTATAATGGTTTGACCACAATTTAAGTACAAGAAAATCCTATTTTCATTAAATTTTTTCTCATTTTCAGATCCAGAGATCCATCCACAGAATGAAGATTATTGGGGACATGTGAATCCTATAGGACCAAGAGCATGTTATGATGAGGGTAAAAGAGTAGCAGAAACAATGTGTTATGCTTATCATAGACAGGTGAACAATTATTCTAAGTCAAAGACATATTGAGTTTAGCTTTTTTGAATTAGTGCTTTGTTAAGAAAGGGCATATTTTGGCATTTATAATTTAATTTGATAACAGGCAAGTACATGTATGGTGAATTCAGAATTTTTATGCCCCACCTAGGGGCATTATGTTTTTCGGTCTGTGCATCCGTCCGTTCATTCGTCCGTCTGTCCGTCCGTCCGTCTGTCCCGCTTCAGGTTAAAGTTTTTGGTCAAAGTTGTTTTTGATTAAGTTGAAGTCCAATCAACTTGAAACTTAGTACACATGTCCCCTATGATATGATCTTTCTAATTTTAATGCCAAATTAGAGTTTTGACCCCAATTTCCCGGTCCCCTGAACATAGAAAATGATAGCGCGAGTGGGGCATCCGTGTACTATGGACACATTCTTGTTTAAGATAGCATTATTGTATGCAACATTTCCTGACATTGTAATGATAGATCACTCATTTTTGTCCATTGATCACAAATTGTAATGATAGATCACTCATTTTTGTCCATTGATCACAAATTGTTATGATAGATCACTCATTTTTGTCCATTGATCACAAATTGCACTAATTTTTAAAATTGCACACAACAATTCTTAATTTACAGTATTGTAATTCTGCACACCTTCCGAATCCTCGCATTTTATTGACTAACTGTTTAAAGTAGAAAGAGGAATTCACAGTACCCAGTCTAATAATACAGCAATGTGGAAATGGCAATCAGAAATGCCATCAGATTGACATTTTCTATTGTTTGTTCATGAGTAGCTGAACAATGTAGAAAGATTCAAACAAATGATACCTTGGTGTATTACTTATAAATGTTTAAGAAACAGTTTACTGACATTTATGTACCATTTCTCCTGGTCCAGTCACATTTCAGATCCTACCAACTGATATAATGTTAATGTACTTATCCTGAATAGGCTTGACATTATTTATCAGTTGATATATAGCAAACCAAAATTAGTCATATTGAATGCCTTTCACTTGAGTTGGAAATGAATGCAAATTTATTTAGGTGTAATGCACCTTTAAAAATGCTCCAAATTCATTAAATTGTATTTTAAGTGCTCTAGTACATTCATATGCATAGAAGGCGAAATACATACAAATCAAAAGCATAAAGCATAGACCTAAACACAGCCTGCCATGCATGATTTAGCTAATAGAAAATTAGTATTACTTTTTGATGGAAAATCATTATTAACAGTAAATTTCAGGATGGTACAGAAATCAGAGTAGCTAGAATATTTAATACATTTGGTCCCAGAATGCATCTGAATGATGGCCGAGTTGTCAGTAACTTTATACTCCAGTCTTTACAAGATCAACCTATAACTGTAAGTATGTCAATCGGATATAAAATTCCTAAGTAAAAAAGATTTTTTTTGGAAAGGGTTAATGCCCTTTCTTTGGATGCAAACTGATTGATTTAACAGTAGGATTGTTTATTGGTTTAGGAAATCAAGTGACCAGAGCAGGTATATTATTCTTACAATGATGGTAATGTGCAGAAATGATATACGCTACCTACATCTTCAACCAAAGAGACTAAAACATGGAAGTTGGTTTTCAACACAAAACACATGTCCCACTTTTCTCATGTCTATGTTAAAAAGGAAAGCAACTGCAAAAAAATTCTTATCTGCACAAAACTTTAAGATGCACGACTGGATATGTTACAAATGAATGTATCTGATGTTTTTATGTAAGTAGTAGAAACAAGACAAATAACATCATAACATTTAAATTAATAACTAGGATCTTTTCAATTATATAATATATTCTTTGAAAACAATGACATGAGCAATTGAGTTACATCTTTTCTGCCTGTCAGGCATAGAACGATAAGTTATTTCTGATATTGAACTGTGCCAGATTGCTATGATTTTCTATTGTATATATATGGTGAGGGCTATGATTTCAATTGTAGATATAAGTTGAGGGCAAGTTATTTCTGATATATGGTGAGGGATTGCTATGATTTTCTATTGTAGATATATGGTGAGGGCAAACAGACCAGGTCATTTCAGTATGTGTCAGATTTAGTGGATGGTTTAATCAGATTGATGAATAGTAACTATTCCATGCCAATTAATATTGGTAATCCAGATGAGTACACCATTGGAGACTTTGCAAAAATTATTAAAGGTTTAGTTGGTATGTAAATTTATTAAAGGTTTAGTTGGTATGTAAATTAATTAAAGGTATACCGTAGAAAGGCTTGTATAGTCCACGGTTTTATTCTCCAAAATTGGATCTTCCAGACGGGGTGCGGACTATAGAGTACAATAAGCAAGAAATAAGAGAAACATTTCAATTTCGCGGGCGAGGTGGTTTATGTTCCGCCATCTTTGTTATTTATATTGTAGAGGGCGCTCTTATCATTTTTCAAACTAATAATTTTAACTCATCCATATTAATTAGTTATTTCTATTCAATATCAAATTAATACTGATAAATATAAAAACTAAACCTTTCATTACAAATTTCTCGTTTCTTTTCAATGCATTGGTTGAAATAAACTGGTATCTGCTTGATTGAAACGATACAAATATATTGAAAAAGACAACCGTAAACCAGCTTAGAATTTGTAAACTACAAAACGTAATCGGTTATTGTTCGTTCCGTTTTGGTGTTTCATACTGACTAATATGGTTTGTATTAGCTTAAGACCCTTCAAACATTAATTACAAAAGGATGGAACTGTTTTACTTTCAAAGTCGTATTATAGTGATATCTGTTATGTACCGATTTTGACTCTCACCGGTTAATTTTTTCTTTTACACGTGCTTTTTAAACTTCCTGTTTAAACATACACAAGTTTCTAAATTATTTTTTAAGTGAATTAAACTTATTTTAACAATCATGAAGCGTTCTAGAATCATTTACAAGCAGTTTCAGCTTCTGTTTGATGATGGAAAACAGGTTTTTCCAGGAAAATACCGCAAACGACCGCACAGGATTTGAAATTACCGGAGTTTCATTAGACCTTTTCTAACAGTTACAAAAAGTTTTTTTACCTAAAATTTCGCGGGGAGAAGGGGGTGCGGACTATGTACCAGTGCGAACTAAACAAGCCTTTCTACGGTAGTTGGTATGTAAATATTATTCTTTCACTTTGGTTTTAATATATTTATGAAGCATGGATATGCACATCTACATAGTATGTCCTTATTATCTACAAAGTTTCATGCAATTCTGTAGTGTGGTTTCAGAGGAGTTGAGATGACAGACTGTTGCAGTAGTATGTTTAGGCCAAAATTCTAAGTCCAAAAGGGGCATAACTCCTAGAAATAAATTGAATCATAATTTCCTGTCGATATACACATCTACATAGTATGTCCTTATTATTTACAAAGTTTCTTGAACTTCTGTTGAGCAGTTCCAGAAGAGTTGTGATGACAAGAATAGGACTGACAGACGGGTCAAAACATTATATCCTACAGAACTTTGTTCCGTGGCTATGATAATGGGTTCAGTTATAATGGTGTGTTCTTTTAAACTTTTATGTTAATTTTTGAAGCAATTAATAGTGAATACCTTTAATTAGGCATCAGTTATGTCTGTTTGAGCCAATTAATTTTTATAGCAGTAAACAGGTTTTGTAATTATCGTGCATTAATATTCTATTAGCATGGTTATGACATATGATATTAGTCTAAAAGATCATGCGTCTGACCGTCTGTCCTTTTTTTTTTTGGCTGTGACGATGCAAAGACAAGACATAGTGATCCTAGATTTCATCAGTATCTTCAACAGTCAGGTTCAGTCTGTTGTTTAAATTGTTTACCTGAATTGCCCACAGCGAAAGTAGGTCTAGTAACCGCTCGACTCCATCCATCATTCCCTATCAATGACCTTGGGTAGAAAAGTTTTCTTGGCTTCTATGAAAAGGAAGAATTTGCTATTTAGTCTGCAGCTTGATAATATGAGTTGTAGTGGTCCAGCTACTTCCTGTTAGCCCATAGATTGAAATTTTATAACACTCATTTTACATGAAAAAAAATATGGTCAAACTTTTCTTTGCTTCTATATATGGAGGCAAATAATTTTATATTTTGGTCTTGAGCTTGAAAATGTTGAGTTGTAGTGTGTAAGCAGCATTTACATCTGCTTTGCAGCCACTTTCTCTTTGCCGAAAGCATGAAATTTTACAATGCTCATTTTACAAGGAAAATATCATAGTTTTGGAAATCATCTTCATCTGATATGCTTCAGTACACCTGTTACCTCAATCAGTTACATGCTGCAATGCAGGTCCAGACCAAGTATTGGTCTTTGTCAAACATTCACAAAATTTTACAAAACTTGGAAGTATCTTCATGATTAAGTTATAGCATCTGAATGAAAAGATGGAATATTTATTTTAATTTTTTTCTGTATGTTACTTATAAATGGAAATAGTACTTTGAGTTAATGTCTAAATACTTTCTATAGTTAGAGTTTAAAAACTTCAGTTACCCTTGAAACTTTCCTTGAATTTTAGGAAACCTTTATAGAAAGTTCTTCATACTCATGAGAAAACATCTAACGTAAATTTAGGGGCCTCGGTGGCCGAGTGGTCTAAGTAGTTACTACTGTAATCACTAGCCAGTCAACACTGAGGTTGTGAGTTTGAACCCCGCTCTTGTGGGTGCACTTGACTCCAATCTTAATTGACTAGGATTGTCAGTTTTCCTATCGAAGGTCGTGGTTTTCTCCGGGCACTCCGGCTTCCTCCACCAATAAAAACTGGCCGCCACGAAATAGCCCAAAAGCGGTGCTTAAAAGTGGCGTTAAAACACCAAAAATCAAAATCCAATCTAACGTAAATTTAGATTTGTTTTCCATTTTTCTTTTTTATATGAGCTTAGTTTTTTTGGAAGTCAATATATTAAGGCACAGGGTTTGGTATATGATTTTAAAACTTGATCAACTTTGTCAAAGTTTAATTGAATTTTACAATACTTGGGACAGAATCTTCTTCATAACAAAGAGATAGCACCTTGAGCAAAATTGTGATTGTTTGCTTTTTCATGTTCTGTATTTTACTGACAATTTGGCTTAGAGTTTTAGCAGTAGACATCACATGTTTGAACTGATAGCCAAGATACAGGGTTAACAAATTTTTGTAATGGATAGGAATCCCAAGGAGCCTGTTAGTATACATCAGGCGATAAGTCAGACGAGTGTGCACCCAACACACATCCCCCCTTTTCTCCATAAAAAAGAAGAAAATAAGGTCCTCTAATCCTAATTCTCAGGAGCTGAAGGAAATGTTTCTCAAGTGAGCTTTATCTGAAAAAGTAAAAAAAGACAAACAAAAGAAATTGGATCAGGAAGCTCAAAAATATATGAAAAAGTTGCTTTATTTTATACATTATTAAATTCTTTTGGAATATTTTCAGGTGGGAATAGTAAAATTGTTAAAAAACCTCCTATGACTGATGATCCCAGGAAAAGAAAGCCAGATATTACAAGAGCTAAAAATATTCTTGGCTGGTCACCTAAAGTAAGTCATATATTATCATATCTCTATCATTTACTTGTAACTTATTCAGCCTTTTTGAAATTTTGTACTCAGGCTTTGTTATATAAAACATTTCATGACTGATGATAAAGGGTCTATATGATTTTTAAGATTATACACTGTTTATTATTTTTCTCCATTGGAGCAAGTATAAATTTGTAAATTTAATTGTCAAGATTAGATAAATATCATCATCAATGAGGTTAAATGGTACAGAATGTTTCTCCTAGCACTTATTCTATCAGTGTTATTCTATCAGTGTACTCCACTATTAGCATAATGGTAATGTGATGCTTGGTTTTGCTTGAACATGCTAGTATCTGAAATGATTTTTATACACTACTAATTAATTTTATCTGGCTAATAAAAACTACTATAAAATAAATCGGACATTTAAGTAATCAGTATTCTTATTTTTAATGTTGGCATTTATGTAGTTTTTTGATGAAAGGAAAGGAAACAGTATTTTTTGTTAATCAATATAAAAGTAAGATGTGGTATGATTGCCTATGAGACAACTCTCTACAAGAGACCAAATAATGTACAAGTAAAGATGTCTCACAGAACTGATGTTGAAATTTTCTGTTATAAAACACACACAAAATATAATACTTTTTCGTGACATTTTAGGTTAAAAAATATTTTTTTTAAAATTGTCCAAAGTTTGGTAAGGTGCAAGTCAGATCCAACTGAAATGATGTGTCCTGTATTGTCCCATCAGCCTAAAAACTGTATTTATAGCACAGAAACAGTATTTCCCATGATAGGGCTGCTATGGTCGTATTAATATATAATAAAAAGTATTGAATGCTAGTAATATAAATTACCCCACAATCTTGTTTTCGGAATATAAATACATATATTAATTTTCCAGGTTCAATTAGAAGTTGGATTAAACAGGACAATAGAATATTTTAAAAATGAATTAAGAAGAACAACATTAGATGGACGACATTTTACAAAGTTACCAGGTGGTGCTTAGATATTGTATGTAAGGTCAGATGTGAGATGTTTTCATTCATATTGTTCATTTTATCATCCATAAAAAAAGTACATTATGCTAATGATTTTTCATCCCTACTGCAGAAATGATTGCTATATTACAATTACCCTGCCTGTCTGTTTGTCCTTCATTTGCTGATAAAAAAAAATGGCATCTGAAGAAATATTTTACTTTTCCATATTATACTGACAAATGGACTAAACATTTAGATACTGTCTATATTTAATGTTTTTAAAACACCAATGACCTGTAACTAACCTTTATGGAATTTCAGGAAGCTTTTACAGAAGTTTCTTCGTAGTCAAGAGATACCATCTAAAGTATAGTTTTACTACTTTTTTTCCATTTTCCCATATTTTACTAGCAAGTTTGTTTTGGGAGAACAATTTCTACTAGAAGGTATTTTTTGGCTAAAGACTTTAAAACTTCATAAATTTGTCAAATGTTCGTGGAGTTTTCCAAAACTTGGACAGAAACCTCTTCATATTCAGTACCCTTTGCAAAATTTTTTTCTTTTTTCTTTTTTCATTTTCTGTAATTTACTGATAACTGGACTGATTGGCAGTCACCATTGCACTTTTACACTGACAGCAACAGTTTCTGGCAAGACACAGGGTTCCTTGGAAACATTTTTAGATTTAAAGACCCATGGGTAATGTTAATGTGAATAAACTAAATGAATAGTGTAAATAATGGGGTTCAGTTATAATGGTGTGTTCTTTTTAACTTTTGTGTTCATTTTTGAAGCAATTAATAGTGAATACCTTTAATTAGGCATCTGTATCTGTATCCAATGAAATTCTGCCAACATAGGCACACCTCCGTATTTGGAGTAAAACAATAAAAAGGTTCCACCACCGCAATAGGATATGAATATTCTTCCACCAATATATTTACACTTTAAGCATTATGTACACAGTTCACAGTTTCAATTAAGATACTTATTTATCATTGTTTATGTAAGAGATAAAAAATGTCTGTATATTATTTAAGTAGAAATTTAAAAATTCTATTTAAGACTTAGTCTTGGCGATCTGCAAACACTCAGTTATGTCTGTTTGAGCCAATTATTTTTTTATAGAAGTAAACAAGTTTTGTAATTATCGTGTATTGATATTTGATTAGCATGTAATTTGGGCAATATCCAAAATTTATTGTTAGCACTTTTTTCATAAGACCCCCACTCATTTTCAATTTGATTGGAAATTTAATGCATTAGTGAAAAATTGTTTCAAACCCCTTTTAACAATAAAATCTAGAAAAGCCCTTAATACATTTGGTATATCTATGCACCTTTCCATTGGAATCATATATAATGAAATTCTTTGAAGTATATACTGTAAATCAGAAAAAAACCAATGTAACTTCTGATGTTTAAATCATGTGTGAAATTTCAAATGTTTAAATCCATTGTTTTATTTTGGAGCTATTTGTATTGTATTCAAATATTAGTGGCATCTTATCTATTATGAAGTTAATTTAGTTTACTGGCGATGTATCAGTAGCATAAGTAAATGTTTGCCAACTTTAAATCATAGAAGTTGCCTCTATTCTGATGCATCTGTACAATGATTGACAAACATTCAAACTTTCATATCTTAAATTGATGTAATGATTAGTCTTTACTATATACACATGATATACAGGTCATTTTGACATATATATTACATTAGGGATTTGGTTAAGTTTTACTATTGGGTTAATGTCTCTGATAAATATTATATATATAACACATAGCTGAGAGGGTGATAGACCTGATTATTACCCTGAGAAAACATTGTCAACCGCGACGGAGCCAAGGTTGACAATGTTTTTTCGAGGGGTAATAATCTGCTCTATCACCCTCTCAGCTATGTGTTATTAAATTTATTATACTGAATGTCTTATCATTATTGTCGTTTAAACTTAAATTAAAAGTAATGATCTATGAAGTCGTTTACAAAACAATGTTACAGTTGAACCAAATGTAAATGCAATACATTGACTTTTGAATTATCGATTTTTGATTGGTCCGCACTAGAGGGCGACATTCAAAAAAATTATCTCCCGCTGAGCCATGGGATAGAGTAAATTGTCTCGTCGTATGAACCAATCAAAATCTGGCATTTTAACGTAAAGTATAATAATGTGATATATCATTTATTATTCATGACTTCTTTCCTCTAGTATACAACACATATTTTGTACATTTGAGTGACTATAATCGACATATTACCATTGAGTAACTTTAGTTAAATTCTGCACTTAGATTTATTTACCAGATAAGTAATATTGTATATCAATGATCTTTCGCTGCACAATCTCTTTTATATATAATATATAATGCTGTTCCACTAAATTCAGATCACTATGACCCATATATTTACTCATGAGTGACTTCGATCAAGTTTTGTGTTTAAATTTGTAGATCAGAATTCCATAATGATACATTATTAATTTTTGACCTGCACAATCTTCATGTATGTATTGTAAAACTGATTTTTATAACATTAAAGTGACTTACTTTTTTTGTTATGCTTGAATCACTTGAGTTCATGTATTACAGAGTCACATGAAGGTATGTTTAGGATATTTTAACACTGCAGTGTAACACAGCATAAATCGTCTTCATTATTTGGGTCATCGCTACCTAAATAAACAGAAAATAATGAGGCATTCAGAACATCCATGATTTATATGTACAGTTTAAAGTTTAATTAACAAAACAAGAAAAACACCAACATAAATAAATCTTAATCTATCAGTGATTTCAGGCAAAGAATACCAATTATAATATGCAGTATGGTTTAATGTCAGTGTTAAAAAGATTGATATACCCATTATCAGCATCTTTCCAATTTGTGTTTTTTTTATTTTCTTCATTTCTAGTTTATTGGCCTGAAAATAATATTTAAAAATAAAAGAATATATATATGTTTAATAAATTAAACTTATGTATAACTTGGTGATTTCAGTAAACCTACTTATATCTACAACTTTTTATGAATCAAAGGATATGTTGGGTGTAAGTTAACACACTTTGAACAAATATCAATTTCAGATCTCATTAAAGCATAACTGTGATATAAATACTAACCTTAAGTATGCATAGAGAATATTAAGCTTCATATAAATGATTTGTAAGAAATACTTCCTAGTCAACCAGTGAAGAAATTGTAAACCATTTTTTTCATTACATCATATTTATTTTCATTAGATCATACTTTAATGAATATATTAATGTGGATTTATTTTTATGTATTATTTAATGGTGGGAATTGACAAATTTTTCTTCTATTCTATATGCCCATTAATTGTCACAGAACTTTTTTTTATTTCTTTTCTTAATATCATGCAAGAAAAACAAAATTCATTACGTTTCTATAGCCTCACTTATTTGAGTTTTAGTTCCCTAGCAAAAAGTAAGGCTATGCAGAAAAACATAATGATTTTCAGTATTTACACTTGATATTGTGGGATGTTTTATATGTTTGTGTATATGAAATGTATTTCATTTTGCTATAAACAAGGTATTATTTGAAACTGGAATAATTTTGAATTCTGGAAAATTGATTAGAATTTTATTTTCACTATCATTTCAGTATGAACTAACTAATCCCCCTTAGCCATGCGTGCATGGCTAACCCTATTTAGTTGGGTTAGTTTTCATCATAAATTTCTCATCAATTTTCCAGAATTCAAAATTATTCCAGATTCAAATAATTCCTTGTTTATAAGAGTTTGTGCCATTTCTTGTTTTATATCAAATGATATTGACACACGGTCATTTGCCATCAACTTGCCATGCCTGTGTATTGACACTTTTCTAATTAAACAATGCACATTTAAGAATTGATATTTGAACAGAAACATTGAGTTATGAAACCTTAAATAACATAAATTGGAGAACCCTGCTATTCAAATTTTGGCAATTTTTAGATGTGTTGTTGACATGCTTATGTCAAATGGACATCACACATTACTTTACACTACAAAATGTTGATAATGAGATCAGAGACATATAATACAATGTCTCTGATGAGATGAACCTAACATTTTCCTCTCTTATTTTTACCATATTTATTAAAAAATGAACATTACAGTAACCCTGGATATTGTAGGGTTATCCTTATACAAAATATTATTAGAGATGTGGGGTATTCATCATTTAGACAGCAACACAACAACACAATAAACTAGAATAGACATCTAGTGGTCAACAGTCAGTCTTTAACAATAGACAAGGGTCAAGCTCAAAATTGTCAGGTTATCCAAGTTTTGAATAAATATGAGAAAAATGCCTTAGATCTACTGTCAATGTGTAAAGGACAAAGACACCTTGGAACAAAACTTGACAACAAATATGTATACCACAAGTAGTTGTGTAAAAAGTATTAATAAAACTTCTAAGTTCAAGGTAAATTTAAAAAGGGGGAAGTCCATAAAAACTGACAAAATCAAATGTTGGACTATATCAACCAACAGAGTGAATGGAATACAACTGTCATATTTCTGACTTGGTACAGGCATTTTTCAAAACAAATGGTGAGTTAAACCTGGTTTTATAGCTAGCTTAACCTCCCACTTGTATGACAGTTGTTTAAAATTCTGTTATATTGACAAAATTGGATGAGAAACCCAAACAGACCTGTAATGTACACCTATTTTTTTGTTATTGATATTTTGGGTTTCACTTAGTAAAACATGGTGTAGCTAATTCTATTTAAAGAAAACTTCTAAACAGAAAATCTCTAATGGCTTACATTGAAATGGGAGCATATTTGAGAAGTGCTACTTCATACCATATGTTATCGCACTTTACTTATTCAATTTTTAAGTAAATTGATATTGTATGTCTCACATAGCACACAAAACACAGAAAAATTTGTCTATGCAAAATCTCCAGCAGTTAACATTGAATAACTATGTAATTATTTTATACCATGAGCATATTTTACATCCAAAGTTTTTTATCAGATTTTTTTTGGGAGAAGGAGGGGGGGGTAGTTTTCATAGCTAAACATGCCAACTCTAGATTTGGGGAAGTTTGTCAATGATTCTCTTACAGTTTATGTTAGATTGGAACAAAAATTTAAAAAAAATATAATGCATCTGTACATTTAAAAGTTTTGTGTGGATATGATAAAATCTGCTTAAGGGTTGCTGAGTACTGTCCCTTGTAACTTTAATGGTAGGGACAGATGACGTATGTATTGTCAATAACAAATACTAATTTTTATTAGATTTTCATTTAATGTGCATTTAGAGATATTGTTTTCTACTGTGTATAATTTAGTGATCAATATGTAATACATTCCAATTACATTCTTTTTGTTTAGAGTTTTTTTTTTTTTTTTTACATTATTTAATTTGTGGCATTTATTGTAATAAAATGCATATTTTCATAAATGTCTTATTCTTTCTTATTTTATATCAAAGTAACCCCTTATTGATGTATCACACACCAATCCATTCATAATAACCCCAAAAACATGCAATGAAGCAAATTTCTACCAATAAAAAAGCTATTTTCAGATAAATTGATTGATTGATTGGTGTTTAATGAATTAACGTTGAAGATGCCATATCATTCTGGATTTAAGGTAACTTTTTCAAGAAGACAAAGTGTTATCTTTATGTATCATGGTACTTTGCGTCACTTTTACCGATCTTCACAAATGGAAAAATTGCTGAATTTGTTGTTTCCTATTTTAAGTTTTCCTCAACCAAATGTTATGAAACTTATACACAATGCTTTTTAGCACAAAACTCAGATCAAGTTTGAATTTGAGTGGCTACACTTTTATCGTTCTTGAGTTATGTCCCTTTAAAACGTTATATGCAACTGGGGGCATCATCTGTGTCCCATGGACACATTCTCCATTTATTTTAATTGGTGCAACTTTAAAATTGACTTTGAAGATACCATATCATTCTGGATTTTAGGTAACTTTTTCAAGAAGACAAAGAGTTATGTTCATGTATCATGATACTTAACCTATAACATGAAAATAATGGTCTCAATAACGGTTGGTCTCACGTCTGACAGCCTTTTGGACTTGCCTGAGTCACAGCAATTCCTCCAAGAAGCCATCAGATGTCAGAACAATCTCAGAGACTTGGGCATCCAAATTCCCAACTCCTTATTTGACAATTTCTTATCTTGGCTTAGACGAAGATAACGAAATATATACGGAGATATGAGTATTTCATGATGAGTCATTGTTATCAGATCTTGACCTCATTTTCATGTTTTAAGGGCTAAAGTTTTCAGTTTAATAAAAAGGAGATGTATGGTTGCCAAGGAGATAACTCTCCATAAAGAGTCCGTACTGAACTTTACACGATAAGCAAATTTCCAATCAATCACATTGCAAACTTGAGTAGGAATGTTCAGTTTTTAGGATAAGCACTGTTCGTCAGTAACTAAACATGATAAAAAAAGATGTCCGAGAAACCAGAAATACTGAAAAAAGGTAATTACATTTCCAAAGCCTACTAGTACCCCAACTCGCTGCTCGGCACTACCTTCGCAAAGAGTGATTTCAAATTTCTCTAGACAGTACTTGTGCCAATGAGGTATATGTATCGCAGTTTGAATGAAATGGACATTATCGCTATTTTACGAAATTGTCCTTTGATCTTACTGACTGATAATTTCTTTTCTCAGCACAGTAGAGTGATATGAAAAATTATCGCTTTTTACGAAATTTTCCTTTACTGACTGATAATTTTCTATCTCAGTGGAGTCGAGTGACATGAAAATTATCGCTAGAAACTAACGGGGCACGTGGCGTTGCGTTGACATGAAATTGACAACGTCGTCATAGGTAAAATAGCGATAAACAGATTATCATTGGTCATCTCAACAATAATCTATAATTATCGCTAGAAACTAATGGGGCATGTGGCGTTGTCAATGAAATTAACATGGTCGTCATAGGTAAAATACAGATAAACGGATTATCATTGGTCATCTCAACTCGTATGCTTTTCTCACTTTCGCCGTACTGGCTCAAGCGAGAAAATCAATATCGTTGAGATGACCAACGATAATCTTGACTCTTATTTGAAATAACATTACAACTGTTATAATACAAGTGATTTGTGAAAATATAACATTTAAGACTCACAAAACAACAGGTCGAATTATTTAAAGACCTGCAAATACATTTTCCACGATATAATTATATATATATATAACAATATGAATAACGTGAACAGACCGCAAATACATTATTGAAATTGAAACACAAATCTCTGAAAGCCAAATATAAATTATATAAAAAAACTTGAAAATATTACAGCTGTATTTTTTAACTAGCGACCTTATACACCGACTAATGGACCAAGAGTAACAGTGGAAAGCAAATACCCTTAAAATTACAACTTTCCACAGGTCAAAGCATGCAAACTTACATGTGCATATAAATATTAGTTCTTGTATAGAACTTCAGGTCATTGCAGATCATGTCGAGTTATATCAAATGAAATATGAAATTGGATGAACTCATGAATATAAATGTATATGAATA